CTATCCCTTAAAACCCGTACCCTAATTTTACAATAGTTAACCCAAAACCAAAAATTGAAATTATAAATCATTGAAATTCAATTTTCGTTTTTGTGGTATTTTTGGAATATTAAATAAATGGTGGTATTGTTGAAACTTTTGATAAATAATAATATTTTTGAAAACAAAACTTCAAAATGAGATATTCTAGAAAACTCCTCTATTTGATATTTCCATCATTTGTAACCTCGGTTTTTTTTTTCAGGGTATACCAAAAATTAACATCAGAGAAACGAAACGACCAAAAATTTACTAGAAAAGTGTTCGATGAAATGATCATTAGAAATATTAACAAATGATGGAAGGTATTATCCACGAATGGGTACTTATCAAGATTAGAAGAATCATTAGCATCATGTGTTTCTTCAACACAAATGTGAGGTTATTACATTCAAAGTAGTAGTAGTTAGTTGGCATATATATGAAAAACATTTAGCTATATGAAAATTGAATTTAATAATTATTTACAGAGATTTGTAGTAGTACTTTGTTAGAGAATATCAACTCTCCGAGGACTCATAATAGTTTTATGAATCTTAAAAACCAGAGCAAAAGAATATGCAAATCGCAGACCAAAGAACTCATATCTGTGTATGTAAAATTTTACCCGAAAACAACTCGTATAACTGCTAATCCCATACAAACTCCAACAACTACTGCATCTAAAGTCTAAACTAGTCGAGAGTTAAATCTAAATGGACCAAACAAAAGATTTACTTTTGCTGGAATGTCAATTTCTTCCTTCGAGTTGAAAGCTCAGTAGCATGTGGCTATCCAACAAAATGGAAGATTTTTTTATTGCTTAAAGAAAAATGAGGAATACTTTGTATACCAATTCTATGATTGCACCAAGATTAAAAGTTCTTTAATCTTTAAGTATTGTTGTGAATCAAAGGCGATAAAGCAAAGAAGAAAAGAGATTGAGACGAAAATAGGGTTTCTTATTACTCGTGTGTTACAAAGAATAAAACCTAAACTCCATATATATACAT